TATTTTGTACAGAAAATTTAGTTGAATTTGTATAGATACAATTCAGGGATGATGAATGAGTGGTGTATACATAATATTTTTGTTGTTGTTGTTGTGTTTTTAAGACGGTATCTCACTGTGTAGCCTTGCTTGAACTTCACTATATATACCAGGCTGGCCTTGGTATATATACCTCTACCTTCTGAGTGCTGGAGCTGAGGGCTTATGACATCAGGCCTGGTTGTATACACACATTCTTAAGTGAACTTTAAAGGTTATGTTTCACTGATCCTGTTTGTTAATTATCTTTCACAATTAAATTGTAAGAACATTTCTAATTTAAAAATCACCTATTTTACTTTTATGGGTAATTTGTTCTTTTGCAAATATGACACTATTTCCTCTGCTCACTCTTGGGCCAATGAATACCATGGAATGTATGCACTTGAAAGAAAGATCGCTTATATTAATTAATATGTGAATATGAGTTTATCTAGAATACTGTTGCATTTTATTTCATTTCAGTTCTCCTCAAAACCAGCACCCCCTTTTTCTGAGACAAGGCCTCCCAGGTCAGCTTGGGATTTACTATGTATTTCAGAGTGACATTAAGCTTGCAGTTGTCCTACCTCAGCCTCTCAAGTGCTAGAGCTCCAGCTGTGTACCCACCACAGCCAGCTTAAACCAGTGTTACCTTTTATTTCCTGATTATTCTCCCTACAGTCCTTCCCATGACATAAATGCTCAGAATAATAATAATAATAATAATAATAATAATAATAATAATAAAGCTTGTAAGGGTGTGGAACCTACTTGTCTTGCATAGTGCCAAATATTTGTACCTGCAACAGCAACGACAAATAGTGCATGTTACTTGTTGATGAATGAATTTAATTTTAGTAAGAAACTACTCTCGCTGAAATAGCTCCTGCCATATTGGCTAAGGGTTTGGAGAGAATGGCTCCTCACTCAGGAAGAGTTCTCATGAAGCTGCCCAGGTACTGAGATTCTATTTCTTAGAGAAAATGGTTCTTTGGCTTAACTTTCAAATGTTTCTGTAGGATATGTTTTGAGATCCCTTGTTGCAGATGAGGAACAGTCAGTGGTTATAGGGTGAGGCCAATCTAATTAACTGAACACCTTGGGACTGAATTCTAAAAATCCAAAAATAAGCCAGGTATGGGTGGCAAACACCCTGAAAGCCAGCACTCAGGAGGCAGAGGCAGGAGGATCTGAGTATGAAGCCAGCCTGGTCTACAAAGTGAGTTCCAGGACAGAGAAACAGTGTCTCAGAAAAACAAAAACTAAAATTAAAACAATTATATAAACACACAACAAAATATTTTGGAGGTAATTTTGTTTTATTTCACTTTAAAATATCTAATTTATTGAAGTACACCTCTCATGAAATTGACTGGAATACTTATAATTTCTGAGCAAAGAAATAAATGAAGGTCAGTATGTTTCAAGATCCCACTTCCTTGACTAAATTAGTATTTTGTTTTAGTAGTGCTGGAATCAAATTCAAGAGATTTTTTGACACACTGGGCAAGTGCCTTACCAATGAGCTACTCTTCCAGGCCCTAGGCCTGAGTGTGTGTGTGTGTGTTCTTAGGTGTGGGTTCAGGTACCTGAGGTACCTGGGGTACAGGTGGAGACCAGAATCTGACACTTACTCTGACACTCTTTACCTCATTACTGAGGTGAGGTCTCTCAACACCACTCTCACAAATTCAGCTGGTCTAGCTAAACAGGTTGCTTGGAAAGTCTCTTTCTCAAACTCTGAGATTACAGGCAGGCCTCCATGCCTACCCAGCCTTTACTTAGGCTCGGAAGGTCTGATGTGAACTCCTGTTCCCGCAGATGTGTGACAAATGCTGTGTCCACTGAGCTGTGTCCCAAGCTCCTAGGGTCAGTTTTGAAAGGCTCATTGGTTACCTTGGAGTACTAGGGATTGTGATTAAAGACGCACTAGTAAATGGTACTCCTGTGAGTTCACGATTAGTCTTCCTGAGTATCTAACCTGCAGTCAAAGAGCTACATGGAGAGTTTAAGCCACTGATCATGTTCTCATGCAGAAATATTTCATATAGAGACAGGAAAGGCTAACTTCTCACATTTTTACGGAACAGGGCTTCCATTTTACGGAAATATGGCTCCGAAGTTTAGAGTTCTGGCTGCTCTTCCAGAGTACAGGAATTCAATTCTGAGTGTACATGCAGTGGCTAAAAACCATTTGTAAACCCATTTCCAGGGGATCTTCCAGAAGTTCCCGGAGACCTTGTCTGGTTTCCGAAGGAACCAGGCACATATGTGATGCACAGACATAGCAAACACAAATGCCAATGCAATAAAGTACTTAAAAAATTAAAACAAAATTCAAGAGAAAGATGGGAAATTCAATCCAGTGAAATGCTAATTGGGCTTATGCTCCAACAACAAAGTTCTATGGTTCTTAGAAAACAAGCAGTGTTTTGTTGTGTTAAGAAGCAATACTTAGGGGGCTGGAGAATGGCTCAGTGTTTAGGAGCACTGGCTGTTCTTCCAGAGGACCTAGGTTCAATTCCCAGTACTGACATGGCGGCTTACAACTGTCTATAACTTTAATTCCAGGAAATCCAAGACTTTCACACAGACATACATGTAAGCAAAACACCAATAAAATAAACAAATACTTTAAAAATAGTTTTCAAAAGAAGCAACACCCTTATATGTTTGCAAGACTCAGAAAGTACAGCCCATTCTCACTTACGTACCACTAAGAATGAATGTTCTTGACTTGGGTTAAATATTTGGCGACTCATTTTTTCAATGCTTCACCATACTATTTTATCCTATTAATGACATTTTTAAAAATGCAATCATTTCTGCTTTTGGGCTAAAAGAGAGAAGATGATAACCTGGAGGATAGAATGAGATTTCTAATTTATCTGTTTTGACCATCATGACTAACTTTGAACTCTGGTAAAATTTGGACTTATATTGTCATTGGTTTATTTTTAAATTGTACTTATTTATTTGTAGACATAACCTCATCATATAGCCCTTGCTAGCCTGAAATTCACTATGCAGAACAGGTTGATCTCCAACTTACAGAGATCTTCCACCCATTGCTTTTTGATGCTTCTGACTTTTAATGAGAAAAAAAATAAAAAAATAAAAATCTCCAGTGTACAGGTAGTCATATAGCACCTTTTTTTTGTTAAAGGTAAAGATAAATCTATTAACTGGCAAGTATTTGTGAAGTAGTTTATAAGCATATACAATGCTGGAGGATGTTTATGTGGTTGTGAATATATGGTTGGGAGACAGAAAGGTTTGAATGAGGGGGACCACAGGGGAAGTACAAGAAGTGAATAGAATAAATGAACTATAAGAATTTAAGTTCTGGTTGAAGAAAGTAGATTGACAAATAAGAGAAAAACATAAACACATGCTTAAAATTAGTAAAACTCATTATTAATATTAGAGAAATTCATAGTAATTATAAATGAATATAGAAATGTGATGTCAGCAGCTCTGGGCTGGAGTTGTGAAAGAGTTATGGAATTAAGAGAGATAGACATAGGAGCACCATGGGCCAGGAAAAAAAATGATTGATGATGACCTAGATGCATGAATAAGCAAGGCATGTTTTTAAGAGTGGAAAGAGTGGATGGCTTTATATTCAGAAATGGTGATTAATATTTGTAGACAGGTAGGATAAGCAAAATTATTAAAATTCTTGAAACGTGTCATTGGACATAGACATGATAGAAATTATCTTTTGCTATTTCAAATTGTTTTTTCTTTTATTCAGTGCTAGAGACTGAACCCATGGTCTCAGTTATGCTAGACAATTATTCTACCATTTCTTTCCCCACCTTTTCCCAGTGGGTTTTTTGTTTGTTTGTTTCATGTATTCAACAAATATTTAGGGTATACTATGTGTCAAACACTTAGCCACCTCTGGAACTACAATGAGACCAAATTAATTCATGGTTAACATTATGAAGTTGGTATTACAGTGGGCCTGTTAGACTTAAGTAATTGCTCAATTGACTTGACTGTATTAGTCAGTTCTATAATGGAGAAATACAGAGACAAGTCTGGGAAAAGAGGTGTGATTAGAAAGCTTCCCTATAGAAATAATGCTTCATAGGATGGAATGCAGGAGGAGAAGATGACTTAGTGAAAGAGAGGAGGTCATGTAGACTTTACAGAAAGGTAAACAACACATGCCAAGGTCCCCATGTGGGAGGATTCCTACTATGTTTGAGAAAATTCAAAGTTAGGGTAAAGAAATAGACGGGAGTCACAGTAAGACACCATAAAAAAGGTTTGGTGTCAAGCACAGATGTTGTTGGTAATTTTTGTCTTTGACAAAATTGTGGTTGAATAGCACTGAGTGGTTTGAAACTAAAATGAAGACAGCATATTTGGATTTACATTTCCAAGAATTTCTGTCGCTGTGAATAGGTGAGGTATGATTAAGAGGGGAGTATTGTCTGAGCTAGAGAAGTTTGTGTGAGAATTAGGGAGGACAGATGTATCTGAAAGGAGTTTAATGTAGCAAAATATAACCCACTACATAAAATGAGAAAAATAACACTTTTTAGAAGAAGGCTCCTTTTGTCAGTGGATCATAGTGAATCCCCCGTTGGAGACATAACATTCTGAAAAGATGATGAAACCTAAAATTGGGTAGAAGACAAGTTATGTGTTAAATACATTTAAAGAGGAACAACATTATTGCGGTAAATAAGGGTCAGGATAAACAAATAGGCCGAATAGATGTTTATTCAGGGAGAAATAACTTACAACCTAGACAGATGAACACCAGGAAATTCAACCCGATCCTCTCCTGTCCGAGTCACGCCAGAAAGAGAGCGCCTTCCTGGCCCCCTCCGACCTCCTTCCTCAGGTCACCTCCGCCCATAGCTCCACCCCCCAATGTGTAGCCCAGGCTGGCCTCGAACTCGTGATCCTCCTGCCTCTGCCTCCTTCAGCAAATCCTACCGGCGTGCGCCACCACAACCGGCGTGTTGTATAAAAGGAGAGAAGGTTAACACTCCCCTTAACAAGGATAAAAGAGGCCCTTGGGCCTAACAACACGCATACGGTTAAGGCATTGCCACTTACTTCGTGGCATCTAACCACTGTTTTTGACCACTGATTTGGACATACAGTCCTATGTGCTTACAGGAGACAAATATAGAAGACTGCTTGACCTTGCCAAGTCAGGGTAAGACAGCCATTCTATTTCCCTGCTGTTGTTGTGGTCTGTCAAGTTCTCTTGGCCTTAGCCAAATCTGGGTGTACCAACGTCGCTGTGAGACCTAGGGTGACTGTTCAGGTGGCTTGCTGTTTCTGTCCTTGCTGCACCGTTTTGGAAGTTGTCCATCCGCATTTCCTGTCTACTCTAGTATTGTTATTTTCCTTCTCAGGTCTTGATGAGGTTGAAGATTAAACTATCACAACTATTATTCTCTCTTCCTAGTTAGATATATTAGGTACTAGACTTACGTTTTCCAGCTTAGGACAACTCTATTGTAAACTCCATTATGCCCTCACCCTAGGACTAGATATGTAGGTCATTTTGTTCTCGATTTTCCTTTTCTTAGAGCACACTTGTTATTCACTGTTTTGTATATAGTTTTGTATTAAGCCTAAATCTTTTCTTTAGACTAAAAGGGGAATTGTAGTGAGGTAGTCCTTCTGTAGCACTGACCACGCCCATTGGGGGGGTGGAGCTATGGGCGGAGGTGACCTGAGGAAGGAGGTCGGAGGGGGCCAGGAAGGTGCTCTCTTTCTGGCGTGACTCGGACAGGAGAGGATCGGGTTGAATTTCCTGGTGTTCATCTGTCTAGGTTGTAAGTTATTTCTCCCTGAATAAACATCTATTCGGCCTATTTGTTTATCCTGACCCTTATTTACCGCAATACAACATAGATTTTTTTAAACTAAATGCTTTACTGAAAAATGCATATTTTTATTACCCTATGGAGATTTTAGATTTCAATGTGTGTACACACACACATATATATGTATACATATATATACACATACACACATATATATGAAACTAGAATGGAGTCTATGAGAGGGGAAAAAGAAGCTTAAAGAGAAGGCGGGGAGAGAACAAGTAGTCAAATAGAATACACATGGCAGGGACACAAAGGGACACACTGCAGGGGTGAAGCGGAGTAACAGGAGGGAACAGGGGAACAGAAGAGAGGAATGGGCAAGAGGACCAACAAAAAATACATATGACATGCCACAATGAAACCTATTACTTGATACACTAATTTAAAGAGCTACTGATAACATTTTGCCTTAGTATGTTAGCATGTCAGTACTGCAACAGATACTTGGGACTCATAAACTTAGAAACAGGAAAGATTAGTTGGCTCATGGTTTTAGAGGGTTCAGTCTGTGGCAAGGCAGCACTGGGCAGTAGAGCAAGCTACTTGGTGATACAGATGTTGGAGAGTGAGAGGAAACTCATGTCTCTCAGCCCCCTTAGGGGCATGCCCCCATAATCTAAAGCCTCTCAACGTATCACATTTCCTAAGATTTCCACATTGTGAGATTTCCTCTGCCTTACAATGGCACCATGCTGAAGACCACAAATACCTACAACACTTGGGAGGCCATGTCAAATCTGAATCACAGCACTTCGCTACTTTAGTGGCTACAAGAAGTAAGTAGACTAGAGAGGAAAACTGACTCATTTGAGAAGTTTTGAGTTTGCAGTATTTAATAAGAAAGATACGGGGAGATAGTTCCACTGGTCAAGTGCTTGCTGTGCAAACCTGAGGACCTGAGTTCAGATCCCTAGAACATACATGCTTATAAGTACAGCATTGAGAAGGCAGAGACAGGAGGATCCTCAATACTTAGTGGCCCGAAAGTCTCACTAAATCTGTTATTTGGGGGTTCAGTGAGAGACTCTGTCATGGGGCAATAAGATAGGGAGCAGTAGAAGAAGGTACCTGATCGCCTTCTCTGGCTTCTGCATTCACACCCAGGCACTCCTATACTCACAAGCATGCACTGTACTCATACACTCCCCCACATACAAATAAAGCAGAGAAGCAACTATAGAAGACACCCAAGTTAACCTCCAGGCTCCATACACATGTATACACACATGTATGTGTATTTGCATAAACATGCGCTCCCTGTGAATATGCACACACATACTACACATATAAACCACATGAACCACCAACACTTGAAGGCAAAAAGCTGATAAGAAAGTGACTGTTTGGGTGTGTAAAAATAGAGATTAGTGACTGGGTTCATGCAATTAAGTAGGGGGATTTTGCCAAGGAAGCAGAGAAGATAGCAAACAGTAGCAAAGGCTGGAGTCTGGAAGTTTTAGAAGGAATAGCAGGTGTTACCCATGAACTAACTGACATTTGGAAACCCAGTCACTCTCAGTAACTCCCTCTTAAAGGCAACTTAAATTTTAGCAGTTTCATTTCACTTACTGAATCAAGTAAGTCTTAAAAAAAATGGCTACACTTAGAATTTGTAATGAGCTGAACATCATGTAGCAACTCAATAAACCTAGCTCTCAAAGCCAATGCAGGGAGATCACAAGTTTGAGAATACTGGACTACATGGTGAGATTATGTCCCCAAAAATAGAAAGTGAGAAAAGATTATGCACATGTTCATATGTTCATATAATTCCAAAAACAATTAGAAGCAAAACAATGTTCCATGAATAACAATTAAAATGATTATCAAGTTATCCAAATATGCTCAAATGCATAGAAATTTCTCTTGGGGGGGGAGAAAGAAGCTAATTTTTGCATCCCATGAATATTCAGGGAATTTTTTTCCAGAACATACACAATTGTCACTGGTTTGGGTCTATAACTTTTAGTCCTTATTAGGAATTTAATTAAAAAGAGGAAAAATTGACATTAGACAAATAGATAAAAGAAAGTGTTAAGATAGTTTGTTAGGTCAAGTAAAACACACATGGGACTTATGACACTTGAGAAGTCAGACAAGATTAACTTGGAGAGCTGGGGTTCCTAGTGGCACCTCAAAACATGAACCCAAAAGAACTGCTTTTGTTTGTGTCAACTTGTAGATCATGCTGATCTCAAAATGGTATCATCTTACCTCAGCCCCAAGTCCCGTGTTTACTAACATGTGCCATTTTGTTCAGCTATGACTTAAATATCTGAAAGTTCTAGAAAGTACATATACTTATGTGAGTGTACTGAACCCTTGGGTTTAATAGAAACCAGCATTTCTTTATTAGGATGCAGAGAAAACCATGGCAGAAACTCAATACTTACACTTGTGTTTCACTTCTATAATTATGCATTCAAGTTCCCAGGAAAAAAATACAGGAACCAGTCTCTCACTTGCCTATCTTGCCCATAACCTGAGCATCCAGTTATTTTCAAAGGATTTTAAAAATAGGATGATAGTTTGGCAAATGCTCTTGTGTTGTATGTACCATGATAAAATATTTAAGCAAACAAAACTCCCAATAATTTTAGGTACCTATTCAGAGAGATATATTCACATATTTAAAAAATTGAAATTGTTGAGTTATCATAGGATGCATGGATGGGTGTGTTCATGGTGTATTGTAAATGTGGAGGTCAGAATACAACTCTGTGGTGTCTCTTCTCTCCTTTCACCCTTGTGTGGGCTCTGCAGATTAAACTCACACTGTTAGGCTTGTGGAGAAACTACTTCTCCATTGAGCCATTTTGTCGACCTCAAGAATTTAGTGTTTTGAAATACTAGTGTTAAGATTGATAGGCAGTAGAGTATGTGCAAGCAACAATTAATATCAGAAATAAAGAAATTTTTTGAAAGTAATAAATCAGAAAGCAAAAGATTAGGGTTATTATTAGTGACAGCAGTTTATATTTAGATATAAAAATTGACAGAGATTGTTCTCTATAACTACTTCATGTTGATATTTTTATGTTGATGGTTATAAAAATCTTATCCTATTAAGTACATTTTGATTTTCTAGACTTTTATTAATTGTCATAGTTTTCAGAAATACTGACTTTTTTCCTGGTCACATGTTCTCACTGTACCTTTTATAACTGACATTCAGAGATATAATGCTATTGTTTAACAATTTTTTTGTTTGGTTTTTCGAGACAGGGTTTCTCTGCATTGCTTTGGAGCCTGTCCTGGCCTGTAGACCAGGGATGTTTAACAAATTTAATTCATCAATTAAAATGGGGACACAAAAATATGCTATTTGAAGCTCAAAGTTGGACAGAGATAATTAACAAAAAATAAATTGGCAGTTCCATTAGCTTCTCTTTCCAGAGATGTCTTAGTTACTGTCTATTGTTGTGAAAAGACACCATGACCAAGGAAACTTATTTAAAAAATATTTAATTGAGGGCTTGCTTACTTTCAGAGGGTTATTCCATTACCATCATGGCAGGGACATGGCAGAAGGCAAGAAGGCCTGGCCCTGGGACAATAGCTAGCTAAGAGCTTACATCTGATCCACAAGGAGGTGTGTGTGTGTGTGTGTGATAGAGAGGGGGGAGAAAAAGGGGGGAAGAGGGGAGAGAGAGTGAGTGAGATGGAGAAAAAGAGAGCCACAGAGAGAGAAGGGACATAGGACAGAGAGAGAGAGAGAGAGAGAGAGAGAGAGAGAGAGAGAGAGAGAGAGAGAGAGAGACTGGGCCTGGCTTGGGCTTTTGAAATCTTAAGGCACACCCCCAGTGATACACTTCCTCTAACAGTCCACAAACCAATTAACAAGCAAACGTATGACTATGATGACTATGGGGGCTGTTCTCATTCAAATCACCATGAAGAGTAACTGAATTTTTTTTTTTTTTTTTATCGGCTTTCTCAGTTCCCCTCTTCAGGATTAACTGCATTTTCTTGAGTGTTGGAAACGGTTCTAATGTTGAAGTTGAAATTGCTTTACTTATGTGAAGGGTTCTCAATTTATAGCTGTATGGGGCCTTGAAACATTTTTTAGCTACTTCATATCTTTATGTAACTGTGATGCCAAAGGCACACTAAGACCGAATTGAAATATAAACCATGATACTTCAGAATCTTGGGAGCTACCTTTGGTGAAAACTAGGCACAAATTAATATTGTTAGTTTGTACGAAATTCATATTAGGAGACTTAAAGGATAGTTTTTGC